AGTGTGTGTGTGTGTGTGTGTGTGTGTGTGTGTGTGTGTGTGTGTGTGTGTGTGTGTGTGTGAGAGGGACAGAGAGCAAATGGGGAGATGCGATGAAATGAGAGCGAGTGAGGGAGATGAGAAAGGGTGACAGAGAAAACGAGTGGGGGAGATGAGAGGGAAGTAATTTAAAGGGTAGTAATAAACGTGAAGAAAGATGGAGGGAGGGAGGTGGAGAGGGAGAGGGATGTGGAGAGGGAGAGGGAGGCGGAGAGGGAGAGGGATGTGGAGAGGGAGGTGGAGAGGGAGAGGGAGGTGGAGAGGGAGAGGGAGGTGGAGAGGGAGAGGGGGGAGGGAGGTGGAGAGGGAGCAACAGGGAAATGTAAATGGAGAGAGTGAGGGAGATGGAGAGAATGAGGGAAGGGGAGGCTGGAAGTAGGGAGAGTGAGATAGCCGAGAGTGAGGAGGGAGGACAAGAAGTGGGTTGCCCGTATCCTTTCTTGACTACCCTGCCCGGTGCCGCTGAGACCCACCCTCTGGTCGCGCGCCCGCCGCAGGTGTTCCTGGTGCGCCCGCTGAGCCGCTCCGAGCGCCGCCTGCCGTCGCCGCTGCTCGCCGTGCTGTACGCGCTGGCGCGCCAGCCCGCCCGCAGCGGCGGCGCTCGAAAGCTCCCGGCGGCCGCCGCCGTCTCGGCCGCGGATTGCGCGGTGGTGCTGGCCGCCGTGGAGCGCCTGGCCACCGAGGTGGCGGCGCTGCGCCGCGGCCTGGAGGACGCCAAGCTGCTCGTGCGCTCGCACAGCGACTGCTGGGACGGGGAGGATCATTTCTGACTTGCCCTGGCAACGGTGTAACGGCGGGCGATGGTGTAACGGTTAGCGTATTGGACTCGTATACCCAAATTGGCGGGTTCAAGCCTCATCGAAGCCGTGGATTTCGTACGCCTTCCTTCGGAGGGGAAGTAAAGCCGGCTGTCCCAAGTTAGTAGTTTTACTTGCATGTAAAAGAACCTCAATATTTATTAGGCTGTCCGGGTGACGTCCATGGCAAAGGTGCCGACGTTTCGGTCGCCATTCTGCGACCTGTCTCACGGCGTAATGCGTCACCCGGCCTGAGGAAGGTCGCAGAATGGCGACCGAAACGTCGGCACCTTCGCTATGGACGCGGCGTCACCCGGACAGCCTAGTAAATACTGACTCCGGCCGCGGAAGCCTACGCTCTCAAAAGATCCTCTAGCCTAAATGACACCTCTGAGCTAAATTCAAAATCTCCTGTTTCTCGCCCAAGAAATACCTCCTTCCTCTGCTAGTTAGTGAAAGGAGCGTAGCGAAATTTGCGTGGTCAGACGGAAGAGCGGGCCTGATGGCCCGAGTCTCGCCACGTAAAATAAGGCTTCCATTCAATTCAATTCAATTCAATTCAACGTAGGCTGCGCGCAAGTTGCTACCGCGGGGAAGACGTTTTTTCAGCAAGGAGTTAAAAGAAAATCGTAACTAGACTATCGCTCATGGGACAGAAAAAGAAGTTTGCTCTTAGAGAGATTTACTTGTGTTGGGTTCGTCCACTCACATAACTATTAGTTTCACTGTAGCATATTTGTTTTAACAACAATTCTCATTATGAAAATTTAATAAAAACGCTGCTTTGACTCAATGCAGCGAAGTTGCATCGTAAATCAATTCGTACAGTTATTTTCGAGTGCTCTTACTAGTAATTTTCACAAGATTCTTGAATACTTTATATTGATAGTATTAGTCGAACTGATTTGAAGTAATGTTTAAGTTTTACCGCGCTTACGCTAAAAATAGATCGTTCGGTTTTTACATTAGAATTAAGTGATTGGTTACGATGGTAAGAATAAACGCACCAGGTCCACTGTGAAAAATAAAATTTCCCGTCAACCACGCTTTAGGCTACAAAAAGTAATGTAGCCGGGATAACAGAAGCAATATGAAGACCCTGATCATTTACTATTTATGTAGTTTCCACGCATTAATACATGTGTAAATGGAAAATTTATTACGCATTTTTATGTAATATTTGTATTATATTTTCACTATTTGAAATATGTGTGTTTTTAATATCTTTGTCGTATCTTTCTCTCCTACACTCAGTATTTTCAACCAAAATATATTGTTTTTGTGAAACAAATCCAGGAAGCCACACGCCGCAGATGTTGTAGTTTCCGAGCTTCGGTTACCCTTAAAGACAACTTGTCATGGAAATAATTATCGGTTGTAAGACCCGCACATAGATATCAAAAATAATGTTTTAAATATATCAATTTTATATTCTTACTCCAAGTTGAATAATAAGTTGTTGTCTATTACTGCTCTGTTAAGGACGTCCTTTAAAGGACGTTGAATGTTCTACTGAATTTCACCATTGCTTACGTATTTTACTCAAGAAAATAGCAAATTGGAGCCCTTATGTAAACTGCGAATTAAGCTAAATTATTAGTACTGAAAATTATGAAAAATTGGCATGAAGTTCCGAAAAAATATGTTGTATTTTACACTTTGGTATCTTTGCGTGATTGGTGTACTTAATTTACTTTATGAAATATGATTATAAACGCATAGGTGCAAGAATCTTATACGTATTTCAAGATATATAATTTTAAAACATCAGTCATACTATCTCTTTTGGAAGCAGCACAAACAAGTTGTGTGCCATCCAAGGCCGTATTTACATCTCACTGATCGTTATCTTAACAGAATTGTGAGGCCGCTTAATCATATTGAAATATTGAACATTTGCAAATAAAAATGAAAATAAACTTTAATATTTACAATTAAAAAAATCAAAATACTTTTTTATAAGCCATGCAATTCCGTTGAAAAAATATTGGGATACCCCTATTCAGCTGGAGCTTTAAGCACATCCTTCATTTGCTTATGCACAAATCCACCCCAGGTTCCCATTAGCTAATTGCAGTTTTGCCGTTTCCTTTGCTCATAATTAAACACATTCAACACTCAGACATCGCTAAGAGCATCATGACCTTGGTACAAATACAAGAGAGTAATTTGATACAAAGGACGAAGTTTTGCCTGGTTCGCCTGGACCAGTACCTTCATCCGCCACATAACTAATGATGATGTTGGCTTGATTCGAATGAAAGGGTTGCGCTAGAAATCATTTTGTAGGTGAACCATTTTAACAACGGGGTATTGTGGTCCAAATAAGAAACAATGAATTCCCGTACAAAATACCTGTTGTATATAATAAGCTAAGGAAACATGAACATTTGTATCATCTACATTCTAAATTATTCCATTGTGACAAAACCTTGAAATTTGGGTCCGGCTGAGGTTGCAGTATAATTTAATTTAGATTTATTTAGTAAAAAAACAAACAAACAAAACGAACCAGTAAAAGCTGTGTGACGTATAGGGGAGATCATCTGGGCACTTGAGTTCCAGAATCCCTGAATAGATGAAAGATGAGTAAAAGTTAAAGATAAATAAATAAATAAAATTTAAAAAAGTGCGTGGTTAGCGATATTTGCAAACAAACTAGGCATTTTCATTCATTTCGTTCCGTGTCTCTGCAGACGCGCTGACCGGAAGGCCCTAACGTTCGGGTCTCGGCGGTAGCGCATTTCTGATTTAGGGAGGTCGAATTCAACCACTGCGGCGGAATATTGGCGGCCGGTTGTAGTGATGTGTAGTTGTCTGCGATTTCTCTGATCTGTTCAAAGCGAATACCGGAGCAGAACCCGAACAAATAAGTCAGGGACCGCGTGCGATTGATTATTCCTTCCTCGGTGGCGATTCTCATGTTCCTCCAACCGGAAGGACCGCCATCGTTCGATCCAGCCGATCACTTCGGGGGAGGCATCCTAGATTTTGGCTAAATAATTAACATATTTTTTATTATATTGTATATTATTTATGTACTGTATATACGTTACTATACACATTAAGTAATTATATGATTCGACATTAATAAATATTTAAATAAATTTTGCCAAATAAAGGGAAGGTAAACGAAAACTAGGCCTTGGGAGGGGGGCATGCCGCCAGTGGATTTAGGCACCGATATTAACTAATTTTACACAATACTAGCCAATGTAGTCCGGCTTTGTCAATTCATTAAGAATAGCATATGTTAGAAGGAAAAGAAATGAATTCGATCAAGTGTGAATTGGAAGTAATTTAATTTCCCCTCCATCTTTTCCCCGCTCTCTTTCTCTGTGACCTGCTCCGCTTCTCCCCGTTCGTTGAAAGGCTCGAACAGATGACGACAAATGCGTTGCGTCACAGAAGAAAGATCTTTCCTATATGTTGTGAGAAATGTGGTGAGAGGGCGATGAGGTCCACAGACCTTCCCTTTAAATAAAATCTGTTTTCCCCATCCAGATATCTCCTACCAGCGGGTACCGCATCACCCAGGACAAGCTTCCGTTCCGACTTGTACTGCGGACACGTGTAATGTGAGTTAGGAGTGTGGACAAGACAAGGAAATATCCCGCGTGGGGCGTTCGAGTACTAGTCCGGCATTGATCGGAAAAACCATGGAAAATTACCAAGCAATGCATCCGGACGCCAGAATCCGGACCGGGTGAACTCGAGTTAGCAATCTACCTTGTGTTGAAAATCCTGTCACCGTCGGAACTCCAACCCTAGGACCTCCCGGTCATGAGGCACTGCAATGACATTACCTGAGTTTCGTCAGCCGGATTTAGCCAAGAGCAGCACTGCGTTGGACAACAAAACCCAAAAACATGTCAAAAATCCATCCTTCAAACCACACATATGTGAAACACCCTTTCATTGAAGTGTCACTGTCGTCAAGGGAGATGCAATTGGATCATATGCAAACTGCCCAGATGCCTGTTGATGTGTTTACAAAGGACTGGGAGTGCTCGAACCATCTGAGGACCTAACTCCCGCAAAGACATGCCCAATCATTGGCGGTTCTAAAGTTAGGGTATCTACTCTGTGCATTTTCAGCCTGAGACACTAACTTCTTTCACAGATATCCCTGTGAAGCTATGTACGTAAGGAAACTGTGTAGATTATAGGCTCTGTGGAACATGTTAATTTTCTCATATTCCATACTAATCTTTAATACTTGTTGAAACTATCAAGAGGAACCACAAAATTAATCAGCTATAAAAATTATTTTTGTTTTTCTCCAAAAACATGTTGTTTTCAGGACTATGGCTGTGTGCAGTACAAGAATAATTAACAATGGGCTAACATCAATGCTCAGCAGTTATTATTGTGTGAATTTATTTTACAATTATCAATTGTTTGACTTTATCTTTGTATTCCTTAATTTTTTATCTTTTTGAATTACAAGTTTGATTGTTTAAAGAAAAAAATATATTTTCTTCTCCTTTGGTGGAGATTAATATTGATTGATTTTTTTCTGAAGGGAACTCTGAATTGGTATCTGGTACCCTTACCCATCTTTTGCCAACTTTTACGAAACGTTTAAAAATAGACTTGACAATACTTCTAGCTCTATCCTCTAAGCTGATAGTACTTTCCTCTATGCTTACAGTCAAGTTTGGGTAAAGGATTAAGGACTTAAATTAAAAAAAAAAAAAAATGTAAATAACAGAGAAAGCCCTTTCAAACTATTAAGTAATGAGAGGTTTTCATTTTTTTCAGTACTACTGATAATACCATATAAAAAGAAGGGAAAAAAAATATTCAGTTAAAATAAAAAGCAAATTTGTACACTTTGATATTTAACAAGGATGAACACATTGAGGGATAAATACAATAGTTCAAAAATTTCAATTCATATAACTTTAAAACAAACTTATGGGATTAAAAATTTACAACGTTCTGAAATAGTGGTGTTTTTGATGCAATTTTGTTAATAGATTATTGTAATTTATTACCATTTCATTATATCTTATTTTGTTTTACCAGAGGAGGAAATATAGCTTACCTATTACTGAAGTTGAAATTATTTGCATAACAAACAGCATTGCTTACGATTCAATTTCATTCCAAGCACTACATCGTATTTGGTATTTAGTGGATCAAAATTAATGCACTTTCTTTCTATTTTTACAAATTTTCATTAAGGTTTTTATCTTGCAATGTCATATTACAACAGAGCAAGTGTAATCTGGAACTATGTAACATTACAAATGAATAATTAATCATTACAACATGCTAATATTATCAGTCATAACAAAAATCTTTTTATTCCAATTTTCTATGAAATTGGAATTGGTAGGTTAGGCCAAAGATTAGCAGCTCACTCCTAACACAACATTTTTTAAGTATCAACAAAGAAGTACTGGAATTGACATCCTTTAGCAAACCTAACTATTAGTTAAATGCATAAAATTACATTAACTTTTAACTGAAAATAGTTTTATGGAAAATTACTTCCATCAATCTATCCTTGGATTAAAATACAAGCGAAGTCCCCTTTCCACATTAATATTAGCAATGATCTTTCAGAGAAATATGAAGAAGGGATATACAAAATTGTTTACCCAGTTTTCTCTGATCTACCACAATTGAAGTATTATGTCATACAGAGTGGGTCAGACCTTCCCATAAATTTTAAATTACCCACCTTTGGTTTGATTCACTTAATTTCTTATGTATACCAACATTAGAATGCACTGTTATATAATCGAAGAGATAGTGTTCACTTGGTATTGTTGATTCAACTCTAGCTCCTTTCCTATTAAGTTTCAATTACCTTTTCAAAGGGTAGCGACTTTTGGTCAAATTTCCATTCTGTATACACAATATATATATTGTACTTATACATCATACAAATGTATATTACGTAACATAACTTGTATTACACATGTTACATGTGTGTGCCCACCTAATGGCATAATTTCATTAGAGTAAAACTTGTTAGAATGAAATTTAAATTCTAATATAAAATAATTTTTCAATGATTGCACTTTACATTTTTAACTGCTGTAATCACCACATGCAAATAGTGAAATATAAAATGTAATCATACTCTGATTCATTCAAATTCGTTTACACAAAAACCAAACCTGAATGTTAAAAAAGATTTTTTAGCACACACTTTTTTGTTCGGGTCATAGCCATAATTTATTTTCTTAGTAAAATGTTTTGGAATTGGAGTAAATAATGTGATAACTAATGTTACTTGCACTTCTTTCAATGTACAACATGTTATTTATCCAAACATTTAAGAATTATATTGAATATTTTTCCTGAATTTCTTTAATTATATCACATTTAATCAGTATAGAGTACATACAAAATACAACATTAAATACAAAATATTAAACGAGATTTTTCTAAAAATGTTATCTAATTGTTCTCATCATACATAAGACATTCATTGCATACAAACAGAAATGAAGTTAAAAAACTTTACACGATTGAAATGTTTTTAATTAACCCTATACAAAGTTTCACATGCATAGCTTTTCCGAGCATCAATTCTTAATTTGTTTGGATAAAGCACAAAATGTTGTTCAGAGAAAAAACTGGAACAGCTTAGCTTAGGAAATTACACAAAAGTGCAAAAGGGCAGTGAAGTGTTTTACATAATACACTAATATTCATTACAAGTGAACACCCCAATTTATTGCCAGATTTTGTGCCACTATCTAATATTTTATAAAAAGAAAATGCAATAGTTCTTATGAAAAATACTAAATTATAGTACAGAATTAAACACTTAACCCAGCATTAACTTCACACAAGGTCTGTATAGGCATGGACTTTTTTTTTTTGTCGGCAATGAGTTCTTGGTACTGTTTTTTTTTAATAGTGGCAAATATTTTCTAATACAATTTGAAATTTGCACATGGTAATGAGATTTTCTTGAACTTTCCTTTTACAAACCACTTTGCAGTTCATGGCATTCCACCGAGATTCAGTGTAATATATAGCTTGCCCTAAACAAATAATTTCTTCCAATATGTAATGTTTTTGTTGCTTCAAGTTTTAATACTCAAGCATTAACTAGTATCAACCATGAAGTCTTAAGATAATAAAATTTGCTCTAATGATACAAATAAGACACATTACATTTGAATTTGTCATTTTCTAATTTATGAAGACATGATCATTTCCATCTCACTAGCATGTTCCTTCATAATACTAATACAATTTTTTAACTACTTCAAAATTTATTGAGATAATTGCTCTTAATAAGCTAATAACAGAATCCATGAATAACTAACTGATGCATTTAATAACATTTGAAAGAGGATATGTGCTTTTAAAATACATGGCCGATACCAGATTGTTTACATTTTATATACTTTATCATGTCTTACTTTATTAATACTACAATAATACAATATGAAAATAACTATGATGTCATGAATACTTGGCTTCACCAAAGTAGTGCCAGAAGCAAAAGAATTAGCATTACCATAAAATGGTAATAAAACAGGCAATAAAGAAAATTCATATTTTCAAGAAAATATATCCTAAAACATTCAAATAAAGCTACCAAAAATTTTGATCAGTTAATACAATCGCCAAGAACTACTTCATAAGAGGCAATTATTGACTGCCTTAAACATAAAGGTCATTAATAGTTCTACCTAGAGTTGACGCTAACAAAAGATTCATACAAATTATACCGCAATAAGTACGGAATCATACATTCTCACTGTGTAGTAATGATAGTAAAGTATATTCCAATTACATTTGCTGTTCTTTATAAAGTCTTATTTCATCAATACAAGAGTTCAGACACTAGACTTCAAGTTCAAGATTTGTTGAAGAGGGCTTTGTGGATGGTTCCAACATCAGGAACAACAGATGATTTTCCTCCACTAGGCAATTTGAAAGAACTACCACTGGAAAAAAAAAAAAAAAAAAAGATCAGGCATTTAATTTACAAATATCAATACACATTACATACATTAATAAACACAGAATGAAGACCATACCTATTCACTCCTCTTCCTGATGAGCTTGTTGGTGGTCTTGCATTTACGAGCATGCATTTCATGGGCTGGCCATCTAACTGGCGATTGTGATACACATCAACAGCTTTCACAGCATCCTTATGATTTTCGTAAACTACTTCTGCTGTACCAGGTCGTACAAGGCGAGATGTCATCAATGGGCCAATATCCTCGAATAATTCCTATTGATAAAGCAAATTTATTTACATTAATATAAATATGAAGGGAATGCTTTAATGACTTGACATGGTCTAATGTTATGGCCTAAAACAATATTAGTATATTACTAATTGTTTATAACTATACAAATTTTGTTGCTGTTTTTAGAATGCTTCTTGAGTGTTAAAACTTTCAAATTTTTTTTACATCAAAATATTTCATAGAAGAATGATAATTTTAGAAAATTGTTGTGGCACACATGTACTTTGTATTTTTTAATAAATCATTACTCTAGTGTTATACAATACATTTCATAATAGTGTCAAGGATGAAAATTCTTTTCTTTTATGGACTAGACCACTATTGTATTGAAAAAGCTTATGAACTCTCTTATAAAATAAAATTAAGCCACTATTGCAAAAAATTATTATCAGAATTATCGGGGAGAAGGGAGGAGATCATCCTAGCATGTTTTACGTTGTCCTTCGGGAAATGTTATAATATGTCTGTGCCAGTGGTGTGATAATTCCAGATATACATGCCTCATTTACGACTTCCACACTCAAGAAAGTTAAAATTATAAAATCAAGGAATTTGAAAAAAATTTCCCAAGAGCATTCTTAGAATTGATTGTACTGTGTTGAGCTGCTACAGACAGGGCTGAGTAAGTGAAAATGTTCTTTATTTCACTTCTCAATTTGTATATTTGCTTATAAAACTCCCTAAAAGATATACTAAATATAAAATATTTCTTTTTTTCCTGTCCTACTCCTCTTCCCCTTCTTTCAGGATCACAAGAGGGGTTTCTTTACTTTAAATGGTTCACTTTCACAAACAACTTCACTAAGCTGAACATAAATAATATGAAACAGAAAGGATATGAATCAATACTAGTTATTTTGCTTTAGTGGCTTGATGAACCTCTTGCAGTTGAGTTTCATACAGTAAATAGTTATCGTAAAAACAGGACAGAATTTCATGCATTACCAACTCAATAACCAGGAATGTTTATTTGGACATTAAGCACCTATAAATTTTATATTGTTCATATATATCTACGAAATAAATGCTAACTGAAATTATATAATTGGGTTCCAGTACAGAACACATAGCAACTTACAGAAGTTGTTAAACTGGCATTTCACACCACTCAGACAAGAAGGAAATTCATGGTGGAGGGGACAAGGGGAAGTTAGTGGGGATTTTAGGAAAATCCTTTGGGGGACAGTGAGCAACGTACCCAACGTACAAGGCACATAATTATAATAAATAAGGTGTGTATTATCAAAATAATTTAAAAAAAGAAACTATTAAAATAATTTTGATGCTTTATGATTGGCTACTTTTTTCATTACATTATTTCATGCCCGAGTACCTAGTAGAGCACCATAACTTTTCTTTTTCTTGAAGTGAAACTTGGATACAGTTTTTGTGTAGTTTGGGCTTGCTGTAAAGAATGTCAGCTAAGTTTCTGTCATTAAGTTTCTTGCATGCTTTTGATTCTTTGTGATTTAGGATCATTGAGAGTTTGTGTTATAATGATGAGAATGTAGTTCTTTATGTGTGGTGCTGAAAGGGCTATTTAGCCATGATTAAGTGGATTGAAAACCGTCGACTGATTATTTCAGTGTTTACTGAGTACAATGAGAAAGTGTCCTATCAGGTTGATCAAGTGGAATCAGTTGCATGATGTTGAATGGAAATGTATAAGAAAGACATCACTCATATACTTAAGTGTTCTGTGCAAAAGGGGAAGTGACACACAAGAAGCAAAATAAATATGAAAGATTCTTCCCTTTCTTTGGGGGCATCTCCAACTGACATTAAACATGAAAAAATCACTTTGATAAGTCATTCATTTATTTCAGAGTGCTGTTTGCAAAACTTGAAACAACACCTCTTGTACTTCCTCCCATTCCCTACTCCCTTCATCCTCCCTGCTCCCCTACTCGCTAAAGTGAAATGTGTTCTTTACTTTAACCTATATTTAGAGCCATTCATTCAAGCAAGAAGTCTTCAATATGGAAACAGCAAAAATACATTACCCGAATATCTTCATGTGTCACACTTGGTTGCAAATTTGACACAACAATACGATGTCCAGTAGGAGTAGAAGTAGTAGTTGAATTTGAAGATGAAGACAGAATACCCATAGTTCGTGGCACAACATTTGGAGAATCCAATCTTGCCTTCAATTCAGAGCTCATTCGACCAACAAGTTGTCCAGTACCACTTCCTCCACTCCTTGGCCAGGATGCCACATGACTTTCTTCATCTGAATCTAAAATTTCAATTCTGAAAATAAAACAACAATGAAATACTTCTTTAGATGCTTTAAATAAACAAAATTTCATAACAAAAGAACTTCGAAAGAAAAATGTGTACCTTCCTCTCCTAGCACTATGTGAATCATAATTCCACTCAGAATCAGAAGCTAATGTTCGTGGATGTTTCTAGAAACAGTAGAAAAAATGATTTTTTAAATTCTATTCATTAAAATTCATTATTGTTTAAATGAATTTTACATGAAATTACCTGAGAAGCTACATTCCGTGCAACCACTTTTATATTTGTAGGCTGAACTGCAGAACGATGAAGTGATGCATGGTCTTGAACAAGAGCGCTACGCATATTTAGGTCATCTAATGAAGATGTTGGAGACAATGAATCCTGTGCAACTGGATTAACCCAGGTGTACAGATTACGCTGCATTGGAGGGCCAAATAATGGAGGAGGAGGTAAAGCAGTGAGATCATTTGTAACTGTGCGACGAATAACGGGAGTTGCTGAAAAAATCACATTAGAAATTAGTCCAAAGCCTCAAAAATTGTATTGTTAAATTATTTATGATTAACTTACAAGATTTCCTTCCAGTAGTAAGGGTTATTTGACCATTGCGACCAGTTCTTCTCGTTATACTCACATTGGATCGCGGCATCCTAATACCTGCCATAGCCTAGTTACATAGAAAGAGAAGTAACAAAAATGGATACATTAATTCACACATGTGGAAAGTAAACGACATGAATACTTTACCTCCATTCTCCTTTCACGGATCTTCTCCAATTTCACACGAGCATCAGTCTGTTTAGCCATCTGAACCAATTTTTCCCTAGCATCTGTCATTTTCTGTCTATTTTTTTGAATAATACGTAAACGAGCATCACTAACACCTGATTTTAAACCATTTCCTCGTCCTTGAACTCCACTTGACCTTTTGTTGGCAGTATTATTCTGATTCTGTCCCCTTCCCCTCGATTCTAATCGCCTTTGCTGGCCTCTTCTAGCTCTGAAAAAGCAGATAACCTCAAATTTCAGAAAATGATCAACCAATTTCTCTTGCAAGAACACTTGCAGAAAACAAAAAAAAAAAATCAATTTCTAACGATACTTGCGAAGGATCTGAACTTTATATATGAAAAGGCCAATAAAGCAGCACACCTACCCTCCACCTCTTCCTCTGTTGAATGATCTTGGATATCTTTTCTGGATAATGTCATCTAAACTTAAATCAACACTAGCCATGCTGTAGATAATGATGCGAGTACAGCAGGGCCGTACGTTATGTCCAACAGGTTGTTCACTTGATTTCCAACTCCTATTTGGTTAAACACTTAACGTAATGATTTTACTACCGACGCTCAGTCTTCACAAGACACACCAACTGGTTAAGTTGTTACAAGCCTAGATGATCGGGAGACGAAATCGGTTTATACTTCAAGGAAAACTGCAACAAATTTCTAATGCACTTCACTATCTCACCAATGGGTTATAAAAGAAAATATAACACTAAATTCGCTTACAAAACGAGAGAAGATCGCAAGAAGAATGTATTATCATTCTTAAATTACCTAGTTTCCAATCACCCCAAATGCGAAATCTTTCACTCAATTGTTCACCTATATATACAACTTTTAAGAAATAAATTCCGAAAATCTTCTTGCAATATCTACGTAAAGAAGTGAGTTACTTCTAACAATCGGCGTTTGCGAGTTTGAAAAATACATGAATGCAAGTAAATACAACTTTATGTTTAATTATCTTGTTCGCAAAAACCTTCACAAATATATTTAATGTTTGTGACTATGTGGGAACGTTTGTAACCTTGTTTTAGTTTTCATTTGTGGTAGCTTGCGCGAGACCATTATCCGGCGTGTGCCCTCTGCTGGCGTTTCGTGTAGTTATTCGCGATGGCTGCCCGTTCCTACATTGGGACATGGGAGGTAAAGAAAATTTTTTGTACCACTTGTTTCACCTTACAATCTTTTAAATGTGACTAGTATTGAGATAGCCCGCAGAAAAGATGTATGGTGTCCCGTTAATTCCTCCTTTCACGCCTGATAATTTTGCCACCTACCCCCACAACAACAGAGAATGGGCGTATCTGATTAACGTCATCGATGGCAATTAATTAATGATAAATGTAAATACAAATGTGGATAAATATACACATGCTCTTTTTCCTCGCAGGTCATATATTGTGATCCACAAGGAAGTCGCCCGGAAGAAACGGGTATAGAAGGGTAAGTTATTTTATTGAACTAGAAAAACCCACTTTCTTGCCATTTGTTACTGATATGTCTTTCTCAATTTTAAGAACTCAGTTTTGCTTGGATGAGGGCGGTGATGTGACCTGGACCATAGCTGAAGGAGCAGACTCTGTTCCTTTATTCAGTTGTGAAACGTATGAAGTGTACAGTACATCTGGAGCTGGTGTGATTCGTTTTGGTGCATATGCTGGCCATGTAATAGAGTTTAGAGTAAGTAGTGACATGGGACGAAATTGTGAAGATCTTATATATATAGTTATAAAATAATGTTTACACTTGCCATTAGTATTAAAATATTTACAAGTTAGGGAAAAGCAATTTCTGTGAATTCGTACAGTTAAGTAATTTTAGATGAAAACATGTAAATAATTTAAAATATTTTTAAATTTTACTTTAATTTTTCTCAGTGTTTCATTGAATAAAAATTATTTCAATTTCAAAAGTCTAAGAAACTAATTTCCAGGTGGAACGACCAGAAGCACAGGATGTTATGATATTGTCTTGCGATGGTTGGTGTGTCCTACATTGTAAAAGAATAGCAGAAACAGAACCTGATCCTCCAATAGATTCAACATTCTCATTGCTGCCGGCTCTGGAAGATGGATATTTTTCTGATTTATCTATTACTGCATGTAATAGTAAACAGGTATGAATTTCTGATTGTTGAATACGTTTTTGATTTGTAATAGTTCATTAAATAAATTTGAATCTTTTATTCAGTTAGTCTTGGCCATTTGTTCAACCATTACTTTCAATTAATTTATTACTGTCCCTTGAGATACAAAATAAATTTGAATTGTAATGTAAGGTTTGTTTTGGTATAATTTCTTACGAGTTTGATTAGTGTATTTTTATGTTGACATTTTAATTAATAAGAATCTTTCCTTTCTGTAGTTTGCAGTACATACATGTATTCTACGATTGAGTGCACCAGAACTTGACTGGTCCAGTCAACCTCCTCCACTTTCTGGACTTCCAGAGGATGTTCTTGGGACAATTCTTCATTTTTTATACTCTGAGTGCTTGCCAGTTAACTTAGCAGAACAAACAGCTCGACAATGTATTTCTGCTGCTTCAAGTTTGCCAGGGCTCGAGAGGCTTGTACAGATGTGTGAACTGTACTTGAAGAATATGGCTTTAAAACAACGTATGTATTTTACATATTTTATGTAGGGAAAAGTGTTGTAAATCTAATATCCTGAAATAAAATAGAAATTTGTCTAACAGACATTTATATTTATCAATATTTAATTTTGTAAATGAAGTGATGTAAATTTAATGAATGTTTAATGAAGTAAAAACCTGTTAGATGCATCATATTTCACAGAGGTTAAACAAACCAAAAAAGGAAAAAATATATTTCATTCAATGGTATAATGAAAATTTTGTTTTAACATTTAAATAATTTATAATAATGCAACAGAAATGAGTTTTATAAAATTTCATAATATCAAATTTCAAATAATTATTTCATTTTGATTAAAATGTTTGTTTGGTGTTGGCATTAATAATTTTTGAGGTCATTGTTCCATTCGTTGACAGTTCTGTGAAAGCTGGAAGTTTTTGAATGGGGTTTTATGGAAAAAGAACTTATTTTCATTTTATGGTGATCAATTGGATGTTTTGGTTGAAGATGACTGGTAATGAGAGTTTGTGGCTTTTGTAATAGTTGTTGAGCAGATATTCCAATTAGGCTTCTTGGTTCTGGCTGTGATGCGAAGTTTGTAAATTCAAGGATGCAAGTCTTTCTACATAACTGAGGTATTGCAAATTTACTGGAATTTAAGTTGCTAGTCTTGGTTGTTTTTATGTTGACAATAGGTGCTCTTTGGAGGATGATTAAGTTGGAACTAAATTAAGGGTGTAAACGTGTATTTGGATTGGTACTAGGTGGAGGAAGTTGTGGTGAATAAAGACGAGACATTCTCGATACTCTTATTAATCAATGAAATCAATATGTTAGCTTTTTTGTTATAATTGTGATATGGTCACTACAGTCAATATTGGTTGATATATGCATACTCAGGTTGAAGTGAAGTGTAGTTGTTAGAATTATGATATTGGGAAATGAGTAGTTCATTTTAGGGTTATTTTTGCAGGATGAGCATTTCTGAGGGCTAATATATGACAGGCCATTCAGTAATTTTATCTAATAATTTTATAGGATATTAGGGGGAAATTAGGGAGCTTCCTCAATACTTTGAATTCTCAAGCCAGAGGTTTTCTGCATTTGCAATACATGCATGGGTTAGTGGTGTACAAGGTAAATGGGAGACACACTTCTATTGAGATTTTTAATACTCTGTAGTGTATCATTATAGAAGAGGATTCACCAGTGTTTATTCTTACCTTGCAGATCTCGTTATGTAGGGAAGTCTTCAATGTAAGTTAGTAATAAGTTTTCCTTAATTCCAATCATCATCATCATCATCATCATCATCATCATCATCATCATTATCCTTTCGAGGGATAGACCTGAATATCTATTCCTTTGATTCAGTAGTCTCTTAGTTCCTCCTGAAGTGTTTGTTCTTTTTATCTTTTCTTTCATTGTCATCTTCTTCTTGCTCCTCTTGGTCTGTATTTCAGGGCCTGATTTGGTAAGTCAGTTGTTTCAGTATTTTTTATGTTTCATTGATGAATGATGTCTTTAATTTTAAGCTTCTTTATTTTATTGTCTTTGTGTAACTCTTAAAATTGGACTGAGAAACCTCATTTGGGCTGCTCCAGTTCTTTGTTTGAATATCACCAAAAATAGTGTTGGTTTGACCATAATATAATGAAGTTTAGCATTTTTTTCTCTCTTCATATATTGAAATGTTTTCCCCCCCATAATTCATGTAATTTTCTTTTGATGTTACAACCAATGGCAAATTCTTCACAACGATACATCTAAATAAACATAGAATGAGTATCACAGAAATATACATTTAAAATATTAATTGTAAAGTTGCAATATCAGATTGATGAAAATAATTACAATTCCACTTTGTTTTGCTCTCTGTAAATTTGTTATTTTCATCTCTTAATACAGGAATGCTTATTTGCCTTTCATCTTTTTATGTATTTGATAAACCGATTTATCCTCTGCTTATCATTGGATAATAAACATTGTAAAAAATGTTCCTGCGCATCCAGTTTCTCGTGGAGCAGCATCTGAGAGAGTTTACTGAATTTTTCCGTGTTTTGTGCTTCTGCTGCATTTTCCATAAGCTTTTCTAACTTATGATTTCTTTATCATTTATTATGGTACTCAAAGCTCTGGACTGTTTTGAAGAACTTTGTGGTACAAAAACTCTTTTCCCTCTACTACAAATTTTTTTATAGTTTCCCAGATTTGTTTTATGCTGCTCTCCTTTCTGCACCACTCCATATAAATTGTTGTCAGAAATTCCTGCAAACCCTTAATGCCAACATATCCATTGATTTTGTTGAAATTCGCTAGCTTTGTTTCAAAATATTCCTATTGTATCTAGTTTTAGTTCTTTTTCTTCTGCACTTCAAGGATTAGGCAGCTGTCTGTTCCATCAATAAGCAGAGATTTAATTATTTACCCAAGACATTCCAATTTCTTTAGTAACTGTTGGGTTCTCTGTAGGGTAAATACATTAAATTCTATTTCTAGTTTGATTTTGAATGTTGTGAAATGCTTTTTATGAAATTTTTATGTTATTTAGTTGAGAATTTTCACGTAACTAGTGTGTTTCATAGGCTATTTAAATCAAGAAGAAAGATTTTGTGGTAGATTTAGGAAGGAAAAATGAGCTATCGCGTCATTTGAGCTTATATATACATGTTATTGCTATTGATATCGTTACAGAGAAATTCAATAATCCAAACCTTCTGCATGTGTGAGTTTCTGTGCAATTTAGAAAGCAATCTTAATTGAGGAATGCGGACCATCTGTATAATGAATAAAAGTGAAACAAATTACCTTTTTTTTAATTTTGATGTTCCATTCTAATGTTTTTTGTCATTGTTTTTTTTTAATTTTCTGATCTTTTTTAGACAAACATTTTTCTTAACAAATACAGAAGCTGATAATCACTCTGTTTCATATAAATACAGCTAATCCAACAATACTGAAAGCATGGTTAAATGAAATTCTTTAGGGTTGTGACAGTCGTAGAAGACAGCTGTGGTCAGAACATGTGAAATATTGAAATACAGTGTTTTTTAATAGATATTATATTTTAACATTTCACATTAACATGTGCCTTCTTATGGATCCATGTTATGGCTTGCACTCAGTGAGCCTGCCGCGCTATCGGGAGTGTCAGTCGGCCTATCTGTCTGTGTCGTTCTGCCAGCCTGCTGCCTTTGGCGGATTGGTGTGATGGCATGACTGTCGGTCGGTCTATCTGTCTGTGTCTGTCTTCCAAACTATTGATCGGTAGGTCGGTCTGTCTGTCAATGGGTCAGTCCTTAACTGTTCAGACGATTTTCTTTGAAATTGATATTCTCCGTTCAGTATGGCTGAAATTGACGCACTGCAAATGTGAAACGGATATTTTGATTTTTGAGTTAATTTAAGCAAAGTCTAAATAAGTTCATAATTTTCCCCAAAAATGGCACAAAATTTTAGGAGTAAATTTCTTGCTCAGATAGAGCAAATGGCACCGGTCTTATTTTCATTGAACTCTGAATTTTCAAAAATTGCATATGTTCAAAAAGGTTTTTATTTTTGTTAGGACTCTTGTCATGCTTTATTATTTAAATTTTTGGCATTGAAGCTCCTCATTGGATGACAATATCACATGTCCCTTGCAGCTCGTGACACTATATTTAAAACTGAGTTAAAGGCCATTTACAATTTTTTCAGAATTATGAGCAGTTTTTTCTAAATTCTCAGAGAAATGGTTCCAAATTTTTTCCTTCAAGTTTTTTTATTGGGTAGAGTAATGAATGCTTAAAACAATTGAGTGAGTACAATTTTTGGTAAACTGAATTTTTGAAAATTGCAAAACTTCAATGTTGAAGATATTTTCCTTAATGATACCTCTTCTAAAAAATTAAATCATAAGTAACATCATACACAATTTTTTGAAAATACAAGTGTTTTTTACTTGAAGTAAAAAAAAAGGCTTCTAATTTTTAAAACATTCTTTCATGGGATAGAGCAAAATTCTAATTATTGTTGAACTCTTTCAATTTTCGAAAATTGCAAAAAAGTATAATCAATGCATGAAACGTGTGCTACTATAGCAGCTCTAGTAAATTTAACTCTTTCATATTGGCTTTACAAAACTTAATATTAGGAATTGTGTAGAGACCATAAAAAATATAGGTACCCAAGATGGAACAAAAACAAAGAAATAGAAAGCGATGTAGATGTTAATTTAGGAGTTTTTCATCTTTCTTATCTATTGTTTTGGATTTTATTATTTTGTACATATGATATTTTGATATAATTGAAACTTTCATATTTATAAACTATGGGAGAGATCTTGATATAGGTAATTTTTAGAGTGAACTGAAGGGTGAACATGCTGTGGATATATTTTAATTTCCTCTGAAAGTGACTAATTTCATTAAGTTGTTGTTTGAATTCATAAGCTTACTAATTCAAGTGATAATTCAACACTTGTTTTTTTCTGTAACCTTCTTCCTTGTATTTGCATTTGTGTTTATTACACTTGTAGAATTTTTGTGGGCACAAAATTTAGTTTCTTTATTTTTTCAGAAATTATTGGATTGGTCTCTGATATGCATGCATGTGCCAGCCAAATAATTGATCACTTCACTTCTAAAACATCTCCTGGGGATCATGGTGCAGAAAATTTGAATTCAAATCCAGCAAAGCTCTGTTTTGTCGTGAAACAGTCTGTTCGGGAAGCTGCAGTAGGTGAGTACTCCTTTCTCTTTGTTCTGGATTTAAGATGGAAGTAAAGATTCCCTCCAGATATAATAGTCTGAGGGATAATTACAGTTTTGTGTGATTTATAAGACACCATCAACACATAAACCTTTAATTATGCAAGAGCTAGTTGGGGAATTACCTCCCAATGGTGCATCAAACATTAAAATGAAAATCTAGGATTATGTAGATTAGGATAAACGGAAAAGATGCACACAGATCAGGTGCACCCTTGGCACTTAATTTTTTTTTCCCCCCCTTAAAAAGTCCCCGAGTCAGGTTTCTTAAGCTGTAATCTACATAATGATACCCGTTCAAACTATCAAACCCTAAGAATCAACCACAAGGGGTCGAGGTTAACCTTTTTAGGGGTGGCTGATCAACACTGATCGTTCCTCTTGTAATTGAAAGAAAAGGGTGGGCTGTTTTGCTAAATTTATTTTTGTGCTTCTGTGCAGCAGCAAATATCGCAAGTGACACTTTTAATTAAAAAACCAAGTGAGGAAGAGGGTGAAAAATGATTTGAAATTGTCATAAAGTGAAAATTTTCCTTGAATCCGACCAAATAATACAACGAATTGAAATAAAAACAATAAATTATACTTTATAATTTGGTGATAATAAAATTAATTCAAAATAGCATATTAGAAGAGCATTATAAACATACTTAAAAACTGCCCACAAAAATTTAATGTTTAGTTAATACTAGCTTGCTTGACTCGGAATATTTGAAATATTACCTTATAATTAAATCACATTATTTTCTTTTAAATCCTTAGTTATGCCAATAATAAAAAGATTATATTTATATATATATTAAATTATATAATAAAAAGATTATATAGCGGCGGCGATGGTGTAATGGTTAGCGTACCGGGCTGTTGTACCCAGTTCGCGGGTTCAAACCCGATCGAAGCCGTGGATTTTTAAGGGCGAAAAAATCCTTCGTACGCCTTCCTTCGGAGGGGAAGTAAAGCCGGCTGTCCCATGTTCGTAGATTTACTTGCATGTAAAAGATCCTCAAGCCTAAATGACGCCTCTGAGCTAAATTCAAATTGCCTGTTTCTCGCCCAAGAAATACCTCCTTTCTCTGCTAGTTGGTGAAAGGAGCGTAGCGAAATTTGTGTGGTCAGACGGAAGAGCGGGCCTGATGGCCCGAGTCTCGCCACGTAAAATAAGGCAAATTCAATTCAATTCAATTCAATATATTTAGTATGATTTTTTGACAGTTTCCATAAGATAAATTCAAGAAACATTTTTATACTCTAAGTTATCCATGAATTATCCACAAGTTCCAAATCTACTTAGGATTCCAAAGAGAGAGAAAATAGCAGGGAAGTTTAATGAAGTGCAAAGAAAATTTCCTTCTCTAAATGGAATTATAATCCTAAAATATTTTCTCTTTTGCAATGTCAATGTTGGAATCATGGACAGTACACATGCTAAGCAAGTAACATACAGGCGTTTCACCAATTACAGCTCGCGATGAACCAAACACTATTAGCTCACACTAAGTTATACCCATGTGCAGTGACGGTTACATTCACAGTATACTGCTTGCCATGGGAAGATACAGAAGCATCAGTTCAATACTTGGCGTATGTATAGGTGCCTGTCGAACAGGATTGTATTGCCGTGCTGGTAACTCCAACACTTCCCCTGGAGACACTCCCCCAGGATTTACTCAATCTTCACTAATCCTCTTCACCTCTGCACCTCTCGTGCTTTGGTTTGGTTAATGCCTTGGTGAAAATGTCATGCCCACTGATGCCAGATGCTCCAACTTGAGTTGTCCTGACTCCGCAACTTCCTGAACAAACTGATGATGAGCATCTATATGTTTTGTCCGAGAGTGAAAGTCCGGGTTTATCGACTGTCTCTGGACGCTGAAGTTGTCGTTGTACAGGATCAGTGCTTCGAGCTCGACCTCTCACAACTCGCCCAGGAAACTTCGCAGGTTTATGACATCCTTGGCAGCCTCGCTCAGAGCCATGTACTCAGCTTCTGTGGTACAAAATTGCAACTGTGCTTTGCTTTCTTGAGTCCCGTGTTACGGGTCCACCGCAAATGGTGAACACACATCCGGTGAATGGCCGTCAGTCATTTATCGACCCAACATAGTCTGCATCTACACATCCCACGATGGGAGAGTGCCCTACCTCATATCAGATTCCCTAGTCCACTGTGTGTTGTAGGTATCGCGTTACTCGTTTTGCTGCTTTGCCAGTGGGACTTTCCAAATGAGTCATTGTACTGGGCAAGCACAGTTTAGTCTGGGCGTGTCGCCACGGACAGATACAGAAGACATCCTACGAGCTCACGATCGGGTGATCTGTCGCCGTAAGAGTCATCCCAAATATCAGCCTTGGCGAGGTTTGAGCCAGGCGTAATGGGCGTGGATACAGGATGGCTGTCACAGATTGTGAATCAGATGCTCTCTATATACGTCTTCCGATTCATGCAGATAATTCCTCATTCACCTTGAATTACATCCCCAAGATACGCTCCAGATTTCCTAGATCCTTCACCTCGAAAAGTCTTCCCTATCTCTTCCGAAAGCATCTATCTTCCCAGACTCGACTCAAACCAGCATGTCGACAACTTAAATTAGGATGCACATTTTGTCGTTACTAGTGTCCCTAAGGTACACACACGTATCTCCTGTTGTAGGAACAGCTCCCATGTGTCGTAGTTCCTTGTCGAGTCGCTATTGCCCAGCCTGTCCGGTCTGATTCAACCGTATAGGGTCTTCATTTGACAAACCTTTCCTCCTATCGACAACTCCCTTAGCAGAGATTTGGCTTCATGAATCAGATGACTTTGATTATCATTGGAGATTATATACTCAAGAGCATGGTTCATTTCATTAACCTCCACAAGCACGTCCTAATCTAGCCTCATTGAGGTACATTGAGACCACATCATGCTGTCAGATTTGCTTGCTATTTTGTGCCGCTAGGGCGATTGTCAGGCGAATGGAGTCCAGCAGGGCGACCGAGTTGCAGATATCGTGGTAATCTTTTCCTTATCGTTGAGAGTACCCTTTCGCCACTTTGAACACTCCGTTCCACACTTGTTTCTCAGAACGAGTCATCTGTCTTTCACATCTCTATCTTTTCGTCTAGGCACCATCTCCCAGGTTTCTTCTCAAGCATGGATTTTACCTCTCTCGCCATAGCCTCTAACCATTCCTGTGAGTCGTCACTTGAAAGGGCTTGCTTGATGGGAACTTCGGTCAACTTTGCAACCTCAACCCGTCCCTTCACATGTTTGCTTCCACGGCTATCTTCTCTGCTGTCCAAACGAGGTCTTCCTGCTGTTTTGGAATATTGTGAGGTCTTTGGCTCCTCTGGCGCGAACCCACGAACGTTTTCGTCGTCTGAATCTGCCTCTGTTACCTTGTCATCTCTGCTGTTCCAACTTGGGCATGCGGTGCGGGGGGATCCTGACTGAGGTTGACTTCAATGAAGGCATTTCCATCGGCTTCCACCCCATCGTTTTCAGCAGCTTTGGGAGCTTTTCAGCATGGTGCTGCTGCTGTCGGTGTGTTCGGATTAGGTGTTAGCTTCCATCGGCGGCTGTGCCAAGAACTCGACGTCTCTAGATACTTATACCTTTCCCTTTCTCAGTATCCAGATTCTGAAGCCCTTTGTCTCTGCCCTGGAGCCCACAAAGAAGCCCTTTCTGGAGCGCTGCCCGAGCTTACTTCTTCCGGGTGACCTTTCCATGACGAAAACTTTATTTTGATAAATAAATAGAGATATTGTCAGGTATCAATATTTTAATTCAACTAATGATCATTTCGATCGCGTAGCGATCATCCTCAGAGCTAAAAACAATACAAATATACAATGTGAAATATTAACAGGTTGGTTATTGTATACAAGATGCGTAAGCAAACTGGATCGTACATACCTTGCAGCTTCTGGGCCGAAAACAAAGTTCTGCGAATTTTTGAGCGTGTGTCTTGTTTAAGAGCACATCCGGTCGGCAGCGGGAGGGGGCGGGAAGAGGGGTGGGGTGCGGGTGAAGGGTCGTAAAACGTGGGGGTGCTGGTGGATGCTTGAGAGACGGTCGGGCGAGCGAAGGTTAGTGGGGTGGGGAGGGCTGAGGGTGGGTTACACTTTGTGCTAATTTTAGCAGAGGTGAAGAGAGTCCAGGGATTTGTTGGTTAAGACATGTCATGTTCTGTTTTTTGAGGGCGTTGTGTATGTGTAAGGCTTCTAATTTTATTCTGTTCCAGTACCTGTTCTCAATTTCTAGAATTTGGAAATTTATGTGTTTATCAAATGTGTGTTTGTTTAAATTTAGGTGATCCGCAAAGTGTGAGACTGTGGTAGTGTTATTTTTCCATGCTTGTTCGTGTTCTTTGATTCTCTGTGTGAATTTACGGCCTGTTTGTTCTATGTATATGGCATTGCAATTGTTGCACGTGAGAGCATAGACTCCGCATAAGGATGTAGGTGGGATTGTGTCTTTATACAAAACACTATGCAACACTAATGTATGAGTGTTGTTGAAAGAAGTTTTTAGACCGAATTTATTGAGTGTGGAGGCTATTTTCAGAGAAAGGGGTCCTATATAAGGGATTGTGAGGTACTTGACTGTAGTGTTTCTGTCAATTGGTGTGAGAGTAGTGTGTTTGCGGATATTGAGTGTATTTGTTTTTTTTTTTTTACTATTAATTTGTCAATCATGTTGCAGTCGTATCCATTCATGAATGGAGAGATCACAGAGAATCAAAATTTATCAAAATAAAAAAGGTATCTACTTCACCAACAATCCAATTAATGAAAACTTTATTGCCAAAATGCTTGAAGTCGGATACAGCTCGTGCACTTCCGAACCAGATTTCAGCTTTCCGTTCAGTTTTCGCGAAGGACGTCGGTTGCGGATGAAGTTCCACGTGTCGTTGTTGGGAATCATTTGCAACACATGAGCGAGAGTATGGGATAATACAAAGATGAAGCTTGGCTTGTATCGTCCGTCAGGACACCCGGTTGTTGTAGCTGAAATCCAACTCCCTTCATGACGTCAGCTCTCGGACGCTCGCTGGGGCCTTTCTTCGTCTGTTAACGCTTGTAGATAAGACGTTCATTCAAAGATAGACCACTCGCACATTATTAAAGTGATTTCTTTTCAATGTAAAGGTGTCGAGGGACATTGGCCGAAAATTCCTGGATGTTATGCAACTATGCCACGAACCGTCACTGCATGCCGTGTCCATCAGCGTCCTATTCTTCATTTCGGCTAGGCCATTTTGTTCCGGATTGTACGGTGCCGTTAACCTCCGTGAGATGTCGTGCCTCTTGAGTATTTCATCGAACTCTTGGCTTTTGTCCTCTAACCCTTTATCCGACTGGAGGCACTTATCTTCTTCCCGTGTCCATGGCGGCTCTAACGCTGTCAAATTCTTTGATGGCTTCGCTTTTGTTCTTCAGGAACCTGACCTTACACCAGCGTGATGGTTGTCAATAAGCGTGTAGTACTTGTTCTTCCCATATGATGTCACCATGCGTTGGTCCACATATGTCGAAATGATTCAAATCACTCGCGGCCGATGAACGTTCTGAAGGGTTAGGGAACGGGGTTCGGCACATCTTTCCCTGCAGACAAATTCTGCATTCGAGATCTCGTTTTTGACAACGATTTCTTGCAGATTCTTCACAGCGCCGTGTAAATCCGGAATGTCCAAATGTCCGACACGGATGTGCCTGTTCTCAAGGGAATTGCTTTCCGGAGCATTCTGCATGTCTCGGCAATCTTCCAGCACTCACCATTCTCTTGGGCACAGAAGAAATAAAGGCCATTCTCGCGCCTCGCGGTGAGCCGCACCATCCCGTTGCCGTCTAGAATTTCGGCTTTCGCCTTCTGGAAAAGGGCAGTCCATCTTGCCCGTTATCTTGGTCACCGATATAAAGTTCGGGCGCTGGTTACGCACATACAATGTGCCTGGAAGTTAATCTCCTTTACGTTCCCATTCACTTCTGGCTTGGTTGAAACAGAATCTTTTCCTTTCGTTTCAGTGCACGTCGTCCAGAGCCTTGGGACAGTGAATGTCTTTGAAAACGTGCGAGGTGCATCCGTTGTCGATGCACCGTGCATTCCTGTCTCCGCTAACTCCGGTACGAAATACGGTCTTCTTCGGTGTGTCTCTCGACGAATATAATGTTGCTCGGCGCTACTAGCGGTTTGCTGAATTTTCTCCTTATATTCTGTCAACGGACAATTTCTTGCTCTATGGCCGATTTCCGAGCTCTCGTAGCACTCGACTATTCGATTTGCTTCTCCCAGGTCTTCCCAGCGACCGTTGCGTTTTGATTTGCGCTTCTCATGGCATCAGTTGAATGCTTGGCTTACTGATAAGTGCCTGGGTCAAACCATTTTAAGTGGCCTAACACTGGTTGCTCGACCATCTCATCAAAAATCATTCTTTGTACATAAATTTCCTTATGTTTTAACTATTCAAGACTATTTCTAAATGAAAAACATAGAAGGTTGGTGAATAATATTTCGATTTGTAAGCCAGAGTATACTGAATCCAGTGCTTTTTGTTCTAAAATGTTAGAACAACCCAGAGCTGAGTAATTTAGAAAAGAGTAAAGGTCTGCAAACGCAAAAAATGGTGCATGGCGTAAAACAAAAATGGCCACCATTTGTAAACTAGGGACAATAAAAAACGAAGGGTATTTTGGAACAGCCAAAACATAAGGAAATTAATGTACAAAGTATGAAGTTTTTCGACACGGTCGAGTGACCAATTTATTAAATTCTGGCCTACTTAAAACGGATTGACCCGCCTGTTGAATGGGATTGTATCGCCCTGTTGATAACTTCAACATCAGCAATACTGTAAACAGTACCCCCAGATAAGATGGTAAAGTCCCCCATACAAATGACATATAAGTAGTCACACTATAACTTACATAAATATAATATTTTTGAAAGGTTTCTTAGCTCCTGACCCACCACCCACACCTCTCTGCCAAAAAAATGTATTTTTTCGTCAACTTAACTGTATTTTATTGAAAAAGTATGAAATACAAGAAAATCATTTTTTTATGTTTTCTAAGCATCAAATTCAAATGCAAAAAAAATATTTTTGAAAAAAGAAAAATTACTGCAAATAATTTTCACTGAGTCTTAGAACCCCGGAACATGCTTGAAAAAATCTCAAAAGTTCCTCTCGAACACAAATTGTTGTAGATTAATTTTAGATTTTTTCGATTGCTGGGCTGCAGTTAAAAAATAAAAAACACTTTTACCATTTTCCCACCTTTAAATCACCTTGACTTAAAATATACTTTGAAAATATCTTCAACAGTTCTGATCGTTTATTTTAGAATTTATTATGCGTTATTTACATACATTGTTGTAGCACCCACCTTAGTTATACGTAACAAATTATCATGTTTAAAAAAAAAAATCATCAAAATCCCTCAAAATCCAATCCAGTTGCATGGGCACTTCTCCAAAATTAGACTGCTTGACACGGAATTACCCTAATCTGGTTTATCACCTTTCTATTAAAAATTACTGTGTTATGCAATTTCTAATTAACATCTTTTGCATATCTTGATGTTTCTAATATTATTTTTATCTTGCTTTGAATTTTTTTAGCGGGAGTTAAGTTATTACTTCTCTGTGATGTTTTCACTAAAAGGAAATCAGAATTATCTCGTGAAGAACGACATGAAATAATAAGATACGCGAAGTCTCGTCTACCTGTATTTATGAATCAACTTCATCGATTTCTGCAAGGTATTAAATCAACATTTAGCAGCATGTCTCCAAGTCAGAGGCAAGAAGTTGCTACTTATTTGGTGCCAGAGGTAAGACAGAAAAATGTTTGTTTATCACTTTACAATGTTAAAAATTTCAATGATAATGGTATATTTTTTCTACAATATTTGTATCAAATATTTTAAATGGAATACATGTTTCTTTGCAGATTGAGACAATACTGGACACTGTTTCGGCATTGGTTGTTGAAGTAAAATCGGCTCTGGAGCAGATTATTACTGCCTTATCGCCTAATGAAAGCACACGGGTTCAGAAAGGTCCTGTTAGTGATGTGTTGGGGAAATCATTAAATAATGTGAGTTTTTAGATATCTTTCTTGTAATATTTTGGAGTGTACTGCAAACTTTTATTAAAACTTGGCTTTTTTTTTTACATGGAGAAAAACATCTTTATTTTTTAAATGCATGTTGTGATATTGAAAATATTATTTTGACCAAATTTGCAGGTACTGCACATAAGAGAATTAACTAAACTCAGAAACTTCCATCAAAGAATCACTTTTAGTTTAGTCCATCTGCTCCAAAAAAAGTAAGCAATTATTATGTCAAAATATTTAAATACAGTCCTATAAATGTGTTTTTTTAGAGATTCTTATTAATTTCTTTGTGAATATTTTGTATGTTTTTAATAGAGACAGCTTTAATGATATGACCAGTGCCAATAAAGTTCGTTCAGTTGCAAGAAATTTGGAACAATTAATTGAAGAATTACCAATATTTTTACTACGCCTTGAAGAAGTTACTGCGGCCTTGGACGATAGATTAGATTGGCGAGAATTTAAATTCTGTTTTAAAGTTGGTACATCAAAGGTGGTATGTAAAATTGTTATTCTGACAATCTCGCTATTTTATATTTGCCCTTTAAGTTGTCAAAGTGATTGAACAAATCAATTGGAAAAGAATGTCTCTCATTTCTAGTGATAATTTTTTTCATTGCACCTATTATGAATTATTTCATGTATTCTGTAATTTGTGTGTTAGAATTTCAAAAATTAGCAAAACAATGCTTTTAAACTTGTCAGAAGTGAATCGTTGTTGTTGGCAGAATGTAAATGTGTTTGGAGCATTTTTATGGGTTTTGAAGTGTGAAAACAAACATATCTTTTCCAGTCTGGTATTCTTCACAAATTGTTGCAACATAGTGATACTCTTCAGGATGTTATGGTTCAGCTTTGTGAACTTGTCCAGAGAGACACTTTCACACAGTCACTGCTTTCTTTGGGATTGCTGGATCCTGCTCATTATGTTGGATCTTCTGCAGAGAATCATAATCCAGGTGTAAGAGCACACACTTTTTCCACTCCTAAGCAACATGGATACAAAGTAAGTCATTTTTTGATATCATGGCAATAAGCAAAATATAAAGTGTAATCACCATGTGTTGCAATAAGCAGTAACTAAACACAACTATTATTATAAAATGATTTGTTCAAATTTCTTCAGTTCTTTTTTTTTCTTTCAGAAAGATGAACAAAATATTCATTTAACAATTTTTTTAACGCTAAGTCTTTGAATTGTAAATAAACTACATTAGGAATGGAACATAGAATGAAATATTTCACAATACAGATTTTATTATTTAAATTTTCTTTTTTTTTTAATTCTTCAGTGTTATTATGAAAGTCTGGGAAAATTCTTGATAATTAAGCAAACATATTTTAATTATTGCAATGATAGTTCAACCCAGTTCGTTTTCACGTGATTCTAGAGTACAAGCTGATAAAAATTCTTTTAGAAAACTTTCAATCTAATTTTCATGCGTTTGCATATACATTTCTGATACTATATTTCAGGTAAAACATTTTTAATATGCAATTTAAAAACCTCAAAGATATCATTGCCTTACATTTTGTAGAGTATGTCAAAAGGTACTTACGTAAGAAAGAGTTCGAAACAAAAAAAGTTAAAGTTTTCTTATAGATTTTTAAGTATGTATTTAAAAACAAAGTTTTCATGTATTATTTTGAATTTCATGTGGATTAATCCAAAACATTTGTCAAATATGTGTGTTTTCAAAAATGCCTTTAACTGTATTTAGTGAAGTTTTCAAGAATTGTTCAACTTTTTTCTTGTGAAAATTCCAGAGAAAATATTTTATAATTATGCTCTTATGTGCACGTGTTGAACGTGTAATTCGTTCTTACTTCACTTTCATTTCAAACCAGTGGCTCAGCGATTGTTGGAAATAGTACATGAATTTGATATTTTGAGCTTTGAATCAATATTAAAATATGTCTAATTTTGTGCTAGGAACAAGGTTTTGTATTTATAAAACAACAATTGTATGTTCACATGTGGTTTATATAGTCTGCTCCATGTATTTGATATTGTAGACATTACTTTTCTCATGCATGAGTTCAGTGATCTTTATTTTTCTTAATTATTATTTCATCATCTATGAAAATTATTTCATTATCTATTCAGTTTCACTTCGATCATTTTGGGGTTTCATGTTATTTTTGTCTTAAAACTTAGAGGACAAGGTGTGTCTTATTATGTTCAGAGAAGTGATATGCGCCTATTTAATTTACTTTTTTGATTCGTCTTTCCTATTAAATAACTTTTGGTTCAAATTTAATTAGTTAACTTAATATTTCATTAAAGTAAAATATTCCCAAAAATTATGAATGTTGGAGTAGAGCACTCTAAAACATGTTCTGGGGCCTTATGAATCTGTGAATGTATTAAATTCAGTACAAATCTTTCTTAAATTGTATAGCTGTGTGGGAAGAATGGAGTTGGATTACTTATTGTTGTTTCTTAATTTCTAGTTAAATCTTGTGGAGTCTCTTTGTATTCCGCCCATGTCGAGGAACAGTCAAATATCAAAGGCTGCCATTCAATTACTGAAATCAGGCAATGATACAGATATGGTCTTCGAAGTTGTCCCATCACAAGGTATGTATTTTGTTTCTGGTAATAATTAAGAATTATGATGTAGTTGCACCTCAGTAAAGGTGGTTTGGTACGAACTTGGTGGGAACTGATAATAATAAATTATTGAGGAACTGTGCCAGTCAGTGGCAAAATGGTTTTGAATTTTGATACTGGAATTTTCTGTGACTGTCAATTAAAAGCTAAATAAAGAGCAATAGAGAGCAAGTTGTACAATACTTAAAGGCAGTGCAGTGCAGCATTGGCAGACTAGCGATTGCCCTGGGCTCCGCAAGTCAAGGGGCCCGATGATGAGACTGATGGGAAATAATTAGTAAAAAATTGAAAAGGAAATCAGAACTCAAGAAAATTATTATCGTAAGTTTGTAAGTTTGTGGTGCAGTAATCTGATATTTTATAAAATTTTCATTTTACCTTTAATAGTTCATTATATTCTTTACTTATAAGGTAGCACTCTGTGAAATGAATCATATGACAAATATGATTTTCCAAAGATCTGCCATATCAAAGAACATTAAATTTGTTTTAAAAATTCAGCAAATACTTACAAACTTTTCTTTTCAGTGACATGATCACTTCAAAACATCTAATATTTTGTCTAGGAGTTAACACATATTAACCTGTTGCTTCACATTTCTTTTGATCCAATTTTTAAATGTAGCATTTGTCAATCACAGTCCATCAGTGTTTGGTTTACCAACATTTCTCGTGTGTTCTCTCTTTCTATCTTTTTTTTACACCCAGTCTTTTATTGATTATATTCTAAGACTTTTTTATTTACTTGCAGATGAACTTCTGAGTAATTTCGAAATTTCTCAGTGTACATTCTGCCCAACTTGTAGGTACTATGATACATATGAATACTTCTGTAAATTTTTTTATTCCACTTTTTTCTTTTCCCCCCTTTTTTCCAGGTGTGTTTCCAAAAACTTGGCTCTCATATTCAAATAAATGTTCTTACTTCTTCTAAATATGTTACATAATTATATATTCACATATGTAATAAAGATTACAAACACTTGAAACCAGTTAAGTCTAATGGATTGGTTATGTACTTAACTTTTTTTTTAAAGAATACATTCAAATAAAAATTGAACACTAATTAGAAGGCAACTCGTTTTGTTCTGTTGTAGCAGGTCACATTCTGAAGCAGTCAAAGATGTTGACATATTAATTTGAAACCAGTTAAGTCCAATGGATTGGTTATGGACTTAACAGTTTTTTAAAGTAATGCAATGTTATTTCGTGTACCTGCCAATCAGGGGTAAATGTCACATTTATAACTTTACCACCACCTGTTTGTCCATCCTTCTATTTCTGGTCAACGAACATCTAAACTGTTCAGTTGATTTTCTGCAAAATTTAATTTATACATGAAGCCTCTAAAACATTTTCAACATTTTCTCACAAATCACAACAAATTTTTTTATCAAACATTGTCCTCAGTTAGCATGAAGGATGAATAAGAGAATTGCATTTTTTGGGCGTCTTCTTACTTCCAAAATTTCCTCCTAATTTTGCGCAAATATAGGCAATTTTTAATTTTTTTAAACAAATTTGTTCTTTAAATTTTCTCCTTGTATGTATCAAGGGACGTAATAAATATGGTTCCATTTTGCTCAAGTCCCATTTTAAGCTATCTCTGTTTTTCCAAGAATAGCAAAAAGTTAACATTTCAAAAGTATAAAATTGAAGATAGAAAGTGTTGCTTTGACAAAGTCTATTGTAAAAAATCAGCTCTTTAAAGAATGTAATGTACAATTTTTTGAAAATCTAGCTTATTTTGTGTAATTTGTGTTTGAAATTTATGCAATTTTTCAAAAGTTTTCTCAGAATCCGCACCAAATTTTTTCATGAAATTTCCTCCATGTATATAACAACGAATGTTAAAAAATGTGGGGATTGCTCCAGTTTTGGCAAACTGTATTTTTGAAAATTGCGTGTTGGAATTGGCTATAATAAATTACATTTGAAAGTATTGTCCCTAGTTCAAACCTGGAAGTCCTAAATTCGGATCTTGGTGCGGAAAATAATTTTTCGTGACTTAAAACACTTTTGCATGTTTATGTAGTCGTAGTAGTATAATGCAACTGAGCACTTTGAAATATTGTGGGAAAATACGTGCTTTTGAAGCCCCTATTATATTTTATAATTAGTATGTATTTGTGTCAATAATAATCCTTGTGCTATAAATTTGCATTGTTCTCAAATATTTAATGCACCGCTCAAGCCTTGGCAATATAATAGTATAATATTATTTGGAGTTGTAATAATTCACCATTTTATGGAGGGAGAAGAAAAAGCTTCCAGATAATGCCATTTCTGTATTCTTATGAACCTATGAATGTATTTTATTCAATACAAATGGGTCTTACTTCATGTAGTTGATTAGAAATATAGATTAGATAGCTTATTTCTGTTGAGAATTCAAGGTTCAAGATTGACCTTGCATATTAGAGAATTAGAAACAATACATATTATTCTCTACTAGTAGAGTAATTTATATAATGTCTACATAGTTTTTTTGTTCTGATCTATTGTATATTATGAATAGAAAATGAGCAGAAGTGGTGAAAAAAAAGGTTAATTATTGATTTTAGGATCTTTTCATTCTTTAGATGCTCCTGATTGCGTAATTGATCACAGTCAAGGTGGGGTTCATCTTGAAGTTTCTTCTGGGCCAGAACATGGAAATAGTGAAGAAATATGTACGATTCAGGCTCATAGGGTCATTGTTGCTGCTCGCTGTGACTGGTTTCGACGAGCCTTGCTGTCAGGAATGCGTGAAGCCATAGATAGGTATGTAAATATCAGCCAGTATTAATTTAGAATTTAGAAAGAAGACAGAAAGAAGATAATCTATGCCTAGTGTTAGATTCCCAATCTTCCTTGCAACATTATAATACAAAAAAATTGATTGTTTCCATTTTTGAATTACAAGATTTTTACTCTTTTATCTTGACCATTGGTGGGTCACATACAGTCAGCAATTCCTAAAGTAATATTTTTCATTTTAATTACATGCTAATGTTACATGGTTTTGAGTAGTTTGATGGAGATTAGAATGCAGCTCTCACTGAATTCCAAATGACATGAAGATTATATAACAAAGATTAATGCATTAACAGAGAATAACATTTCTTAGTTTGAAAGTTATTTTGCAAAACAGTATTCATTATTTTAGAATTGAGATTATATATTGTTATACTCATAAGAAATGTTTTTGTTGCAGGAAAATAGTTATTCATGATACAAATCCATTCTTGTTCTCCATTTTTCTAAACTACTTATACAGTGGACAACTACGAACCCGTGAATTATCTGTGGATCAATTGGCTGATCTCATGCTCTTGAGTGATAGATATGAAGTTGACTCTCTTAAGCAAGCCTGTGAACATGGCTTGAAACGGCATATTGATGAAGACTCTGTTTTGTATTTCCTAAGCATGGGAGATCAATTTAATGCTAAGCTTTTAAGGGTGAGTTTTTATTTTCTGATATATAGATTTACTTTGTATTATACCTTTTAAATTTTGTATGTACATCATAAATATGTGCATAAATTACTGTAAATTACAACTTATCTTTTTAGTGCAATAGTGTTTTTGTCTTTCCATTTATAAAATTTTAATTATTACCATCCGCTTTAGTTGCTATTTTTCCTAGTGATTTGTTATTTTAAATCAGATATGTCAGTTTTAAACATTTCTGGACATTTCAAATTATATAAATTCTATAGTTATTTTTAATAATAATAATAAATGGACTTTATTATAGTGTGAAAATTATTATGAATATTGACTTGTTTGCTTCAGAGTGCCTGTTTAAATTTTATTTCTTTGAACCCTGATATAATGGATAGTGAATTATTTGGTGAATTGCCTGGAAACCTTCAAGCTGAAATTTATGATTTGCTTATTTGGGTAAAACCTAGGTAAGTAAGGAGTTATAATTTTATTACCGTATTTTCTTGAATGTTAGACCTCCTCTTTTCTTTTTCTAAAAATTGCAAACAGCAAACAGGGCAGGGGTAATAAGGAAGTATCTAATATAAACTGAAATAATTTTTCTAAAAAAAGTAGTTTTTTATTTTTGAAACAATTGTACAGTTGTATTTTGTGTTTTGGATGTCCTGCCTGCAATTTTCTTAGACCGCTGACTGTGAACAATGGAGGGATTAGCAGTTTAAAAAATGCAAATGCACATACACATGAATATGACTACATTTACACTGACACTCTTACGTACAGTCGCTCTCACACAACCACTCTCACAACCACTCACTCACACCAAACAACCACTCACTCACACCAAACAACCAGTCACTCACACCAAACAACCACTCACTCACACCAAACAACCACTCACTCGCTCTCACCAAACAACCACTCACTCGCTCTCACCAAACAACCACTCACTCGCTCACACCAAACAACCACTCACTCGCTCACACCAAACAACCACTCACTCGCTCACACACACAACCCCTCACACACACAACCGCTCACTCACACAACCACTCACTCACACAACCACTCACTCACACAACCACTCACTCACACAACCACTCACTCACACGCACAACCACTCATTCACTCTCACACGCACACACAACCACTCATTCACTCTCACACGCTCACACAACCACTCATTCGCTCTCACACGCACACACAACCACTCATTCGCTCACACACGCACATACTCACGCTCACACACGCACATACACTCGCTCACACACGCACACACTCGCTCACACACGCACACACTCGCTCACACACGCACACACTCACGCTCATACACACGCCCACACACTCACGCTTACTCGCACACTCACTCACACACACGCACTTGCACACACACTCACACTCGCGCACACACACTCGCACTCGCGCACACACACTCGCACTCGCGCACACACTCAAACTCGCGCACACTCACACTCGCGCGCACACACTCACACTCGCGCACACACACACTTACACTCGCGCACACACATACTCACACTCGCGCAAACACACACTCACACACTACACACATTCGCGCACACACACTACACACATTCGCGCACACACACTACACACACTTGCGCACACACACTACACACACTTGCGCACACACACTACACACACTCGCGCACACACACTACACACACTCGCGCACACTACACACACTCGCGCACACTACACACACTCGCGCACACTACACACACTCCCGCACACACTGCACACACTCCCGCACACACTACACACACTCCCGCGCACACTACACACTCCCGCGCACACTACACACACTCGCACACACTACACACACTCCCGCACACACTACACACACTGCCGCACACACTACACACACTGCCGCACACACTACACACACTGCCACACACACTACACACACTCACACACACTAGACACACGCGCGCGCACACACACACACACTACACACACTCGCACACACACACTCACACACACTACACACACTCGCACACACACACTCACACACACTCGCACACACTCGCACCACTCGCACACACTACACACACTCGCACACACTACACACACTCGCACACACTACACACACTCGCACACTCACACACACACTCTCACTTACCTCCGCACTCCCACACAGTCACACACACTCACACAGTCACACACAGTCACACACACTCACACAGTCACACACACTCACACACACTCACATAGTCACACACTCACTTACACTGTGACACACTCACTCACACTGTGACACACTCACTCACACTGTGACACACTCACTATCATAGTCACACACTGTCACACACTCACTATCACAGTCACACACTGTCACACTCACACACACGTCACACACTCACCCACATACATGCAAGCTCTCTCTCTCTCACACACACACACACAATCACACCCTCTTTAATGCAATCTACACCCTCTCAAATACACCCACACCCTCTCAAAAACACCCACACCCTCTCAAACACCCACACCCTCTC